AGGATAGATGGAGAGAGGATATTAGGGAGGTTTGGAAGGTGATGAGGTTTGGAGGGAGAAGATTTTGGGGTGAGTATAATATTTTGAGAAAGATCTTTTTTGCAAGAGTTAGAAGGATTATGATACGAAAAAAATTTACACTATATATAATACATATATATATATATATATATATATATATATATATATATATATATATATATATATATATATATATATATATATATATATATATATAATCCGTTTTTCCGGCTCTCAGGAGTGATGGATTTTGAAGAATGATGTATCTTACGAATGCAAATTTCATGGGGAAGTGACAAATGACTTAAAATCTAATATCAGGAAAAATTGTGTGATTTCTAAACTTGGATAGTCTCATAAGTTTAGAAAAGTCGGTGTGGCCGAGAGGGCAAACGCGCGTGCTGCACAGCACCGCACGTTACTCGGCAAACTGATAACCGAAGTTATAGGTGATATAATAATTACAAATTCACGTCTGGTGCCGGGGTGTGGCTTTTAACTCTGGAATTAATCCTCTGCCCTCGCCTCCTAGTCCGGGAAAAAACCGAATAGCCTTAAAGGCGAGGAAGGTAAGAACAATAAAAAAAAAAAATGCTAAAAAATCATTTTTCGAAGTAAATTCTAACTGGGTGCCATGATTTCGATGGGATACTTACCATATGTTTAAGTCTTAAAAATGAAAATATTACCAATGATGATATTCGACGAACTAAAAACCCACTAAAAAATTTAATGGAAAATTCGTATATGGAGAAATGGAGAGAAAAAAATAATGCAGAAAAATAGTTGATATATATGTTAACAATTAAAAAGAGAAAGAAATATGTGTTGTGCCGACTGGCAAGCTTCCGAGGGATAGACCGAAGCGAAGGTGTGAAGATTGCGTTAGAGCTGATCCGACGGCGTTGGGTTTAGACGGAGGATGGAAGAATGTGGACATCGATTGGTGCTATCGGCATCAAACCTTAGGGTTAGGGTTAGGGCTAAGCCATATTATTATTGTAATAATAAATACGTTCCGCTTATGACGCTTAATGTACATCGAATATATTATAGAGAAGGATATCCATCTAAAATGAGACTTATTAGTGAGGTAGATTAGTAAATAATACAAATTTAATAATAATAAACATAAAAGAAAAATCTCGATAATAGGATCTGGATAGATGGGAAATAGTTCTCGAGATTAGAAAAATTCAAATAACTCGTCCCTACAATAACCTCAATGAATGACCAACGGTCGGAAATAGACCAGCGTATATCAAGAACAAATTGAGCTTTTCTTTTCCTTTCAAAGATAATTAAATCCCAAAAAAACTCAAGAAATCTCAAATTAAGCGTGTACTATGATAAAGACAGTTCTAATGCATGGCTGTGAGGCCTAGTTACCAACCAGCGACTAAAAAAGAATTATCGAAAGATTTGAGAGAAACATCCTTCACACGATAACCGGAGCTATCTGGAGTCAGTGTACACGGATAATAAATACCAATATACAGCTGCTTGCAGAAACTGATGAATCAATATCTCACGATATGAAGGTACGGAGGTTAAGATGGGTGGGGCATGTAGCTCGGAACAATCCATCTGGAAGCCTCTACGCAACAATTAATACCTCAGTAGAAGGCAAATGAACTCGTGAAAGGCCAAAAAGCAGATGGATAGACAGAATCAACAAAGATGCAACAGAGCAGATAACTGGAATAAAATAGCCCAAGATAAGCAGAGACGGATTAGGCTTGGTAATGCTGCAAAAGATCTATATGGTCTACAAAGTGCCAATAGAAAAAAATATATACATAAAAAGATGTCTTTTTTAACTTATTTTTTCCTACATAACATTTTCGTACACTGTAGAATTATCATTATTTTTTCTTATACCACCCATTATTTATAAGCTTGACAAGGCGAAAAAAGATATACAAGGTCCGTAATGACAACAGAAAAAAACGCTTCAAATTATTTCATAATGATTTATTATTTCCAAACAATTATACACCTAAAATAACATTAATTTCCTAGTGACAAAGAAAAATAAATAAAAGGTGATTCCAATTATTGGACTAAACTTTTTTTTTTTTAATCATTAGTAATATGCTAAAAAAAATACCATTACTTCAGTAACACATTCAAAATTTAAAAACCAAACAAACGATATAACATTTGGAGTATAACATATAAAAAAAAGTGAAGACCATATCTTTGCTCCTAATTGTCCGATTTTAACGATTTTTTTTTTTTAGGAAATTCCATAAACTTTTAAAAAACAATATCGACAAAAAAGTGTAAACTTTTTGAGTTATTCGGAATTTGATTTTACCATCCATCCCTTGTAATTTTTTTTTCCAGCTTCTTTTCGTTGAAGTATGTTATACAGATAAATTTAAAGGGCATCGAGAAGAAGACTTCAGCGAAGTTTCATTGAAATCGGTACATTCGTTTATAGGTGCTACAGTCTATAGCAACGCAGGTTTTTTGGCCGCCATTTTGAAAGTAAAAGGCGGATAGTAATGTCGATGAAGGAGGATCATATTATTAAACAATAATTTATTATTTCCAAACCGTTTAACATCAAAATTAACATTACTTCCCATGTTGCATCAAGGAAATAAATAAATAATAAAAAGGAATTCTTGATGTTGGTCTTTATAATTATATTTTTTATCATGATAATTTGCTTAAAAAACAGACAACATTGCTACAGTTAATGAAAAACTTTTAAGAAATAAAATCGAAAAAAATGTATATAAACATTGCGGTAGAACACATATTACCTATTTAAAACACCATATATTTGCCCCATATTGTCCAATTTCAACGGTTTTTAAACATATTTTTAGTAAAATTGGTAAAGTTTTAAATAACCATCATTGAAGTACGATATATAGATAAATTTAAAATTCAAAGAGAGTACAAGTTTCATTGAAATTTGTACATTCGTTTAGATTCTCTAGTCTATACTTACACAGGGTTTTCTGCCGCCATTTTGAAAGTAAAAGGCGGATAGTAATGTCGATGTAGTAGGATCATCCTCGGGTGACCTCTGATTTTATATCCAAATTTTAAAAAAAAATCGGTCCAGTAGTTTCGGAGAAAATGTGCGGACGGCGGACGGACAAAAAAAACTTTTATTCGTTTTTCTAATTCTACACATTCTGAAACGTGAAACCTAGAATTTTGAGCGCGGATTAAGTTTTTGAATTTTTCGGTCGATCAAAATGGTTGATTATTGAAAATAATAAACCAAAACTATAATATTAATGTCTGCACCTCTCTGTTCCTAATATTCTTAGAAATAATAAATCCATTTTTTAATTTTGGCTGTTTTTTAAAAGTTCTTTGTTAGACTGGGTCTGTTCAATTAAGTTTTCTAATAAATCAACTAAAATAATCATAAACCTTTATTTTTACTGTCTTTAGATAAAATGTTTTATCAGAAGCTAATGCCAGTTTCAGATTATACTAGCACCAGATGCGAAGAGAACTCTTGAATCTATTGTTTCATAAACTATTTATTTTTAAAAAAATATCATGATCATTCTAAACTAAGTTGATAAAATTTTAAAATCTATAGACAATATAAAATTCAGATATTAAAAGTAGTCCCAAGAATCAACAGATTTGTAATATCAGTAAGCTAAATATAATTTTAGTCATCTTATAAAGACAAATCATGATCTAAAACTGATTTTATTTTTGATATAGTGTTGTTCTTCTTAATTATATGGAACAGAAATAAAAATGGTGCAATTTTGCTGAAAATTAGCATTTAACAAAAAACTTTTTTGATTTCAGTTGTAAGACTTTTATTATGTTAATCTTGTATTCACCATTATATGAGACTATATTGCTAATTTTATTTTTTAAACCAATTTAAATGGTTTTAAAACTAGAAAGAAAACCTCAGACATCTTGGGTGTTCTGCAAAAAAAAAAAATGGAAATTTTTGTATTTCTTGAATAAAACTTTTTTTATCCTCACTCACGGGCGGATCTACGGGGGGGGGAGCTTTCGGGCTGAAGCCCCCCCCTCCCCAAAATGGAAAAATATAACCATGTTTTATGGAAAAAAATATTAAAAAATACCTCTTAAAGTATTATTGTTCGAGTAATTACATTTAAAAGTACTTAAGGAATAACTTAAACACCATTTCATATAGGTAGTTAGTTTCTTTCTGTTTTTCCAAAGTAATTATCGTTATTTTTATGAAAAAAAAAGGTTTCGCGCTGAAGCTCCCCTCAAAATTAAATCCTGGATCCGCTAGTGTCCTCACTTATTGCATACAGGCCTAATTTAACAAATTATATATAAATAAACACTCGTAATTTATTGTTTGTTATTATTATTTTTGTTTAGACATTTCTTGAGATACTTCGTTCTCTGCAGAATATAATTTTCCCCAGTATTGGGTTGGTCCTAGAACGAGCAATATTGGGGAAAATTATATGCTGATGAGTCGGGATATGAAGCATATGAAAAGGAACAAAGTATCCCCGAAACGTCCAAACGTAAATAATAAAATAAACACCTATGGATAAGTGGTGAGCATAAAATAATTAATGAAGAAAAGTCAAGAATATATAAATGAAAGTTATATATGACCATCCTCCTTACAGACCCCTTAATGTAAAATTGGCCAAAATCAACAGTGTTTCCTAAAATATCTTGTCCAATTTTCCCTTTTAATAGAACACTGATGACAAATAAAAAGTTCTTTATTACAAATAAAATAACTCTCCAACGTGAAAGGCAGATATAGAGGATCAATTGGTATTGAAAAATTAAAACTATAATTTTTCAAAATAATCTAAGGTGCTAAACAGAACTTAAAATAAATGGGCATAATGCAATGATTATGAATAAAAAGTTCTAAAAGTCTAAAAGACAAAAAATATTTAACTTGCATTAAAATTTCCAAATATGGATCCATTGAATCTTGCCCATTCATAAATATCGCTGCCATCCTAGCTGAGGGGACGATGCCTAGTTTCGACAGACCCAACAAGCCGGTTGCCTGCACCCTCGTTCCTGGAACCCCCCCTCCAGGGAAGACCGGGAACAGAGGAGTGGCCAAAAGAGAAGACGAAGAGGCAGGAGTACGGGTGTTGCATCAACCATTGGGCGAGTGGGGGAGTGGGAGGAGCACTATAAAAGACCAGCGGGCCCCCGCTTTGGATCAGATCTTCGCAGACATGCTGTCCAGGCTTATCATTCTCCTCCTGGCTGCTGCCATAGCACACGGCTACAGGTTCAGGTATTGTCAAACATAAACATAAACATAATAACAATAAACATAAGTGCATACATAACATATATGGTAAATTTGCATAACGATCCGTAAAAAAATAATCTCAACTATGAAAAAAAAAAAAGAAATACTCTCTAAAAATATTCAGTTTTTTGTTTTTTAAATCAAATTTAAAAAGTGAAAAAACAATTATTTATAAAATCGGTTACAACCATATAGAAATATCAATTAAAAAATATATATGAATTAAAGCCATCATATACCGAATAATTCCTCATTAAATTAAATTTAAATTTCCTCATTAAAAAAAAAATTGTAAAGCCTTCAAAAATAAAACTTCATTCTTTTTAAATAAAAAAAAATCCAACATAAAAAAATCAGTATACCAAATAAAATTTATTTATTTATTTCAGTTAAAAGAAAAGTATGAAAAATAATCGGTGTGAAAAAAAAAATATCATTTCATAGTATTTTATTTATTTATAAAATCAGTTTCACCATATATAAATAATGAATAAAAAAAACATGAATTCATTCACTACCGAAAAAATAATATCTTTAAATATTTCAATAAAAAAAATTTATATAAAATTTAGTATAAAGAATGAGGCTATTTAATAGTTAAATTAATTAATTTCTAAAAATGGTTTTATCCAACTTTTCTAAAAGACCATTTATTTTTATTTTTTTTTAATTCTGTAAAATGTTAATTTTCTTATTTTACTTTCTACAACTCTTTTTCTTTTATCTCTATTTTAGTTATCATTTGTATGTATATATTGTATTGAATGTTTAATGTAGCCCTAATATTAATTCCATCCAATGAGGCGGAATGTATTAATTTTCAAATAATAAAAAAAAAAAATTCTGTAAAATTAATTTTAAAACTTTGAGTTTCGTTTCGAGGGTACAAGCCGAACAAACACTCTAAAACCAGTATTAACGAAAAAATATGTTTTTTTTTAATGTCGGCTTCATATCTCCGCTTTAAAATAATGTAAATTCGAAATTTACTTAAAAATAAAAAAACATGCACTTATCATATAAAATGGATTGTCGATTCAGTAATTAATATTTTTTTAGACTTACTTATTATCATTTCTTTGTATATAATATACTATAGATTATATTAAATATTTGGTATGTTTTGTTGAATCAAATTTATTTAAAGCATTGAATATGGAAAAATAGTTATGAAAAATATGCTTGAAAGTTCAAAGATTTGTTTAAAAAATGAACTTTCGTTTTATTTTATTTATTCAATTTATTCAAAATATATAATTTTTTATTAGAATAAGTATTAAACATGAAAACTTTATTTAACTCATGTTTTATATTTTGATTTTTTTTTTTTTTTTTTTTTATAAGGAGATATACATTATTAGATTTTTTTAGATTCATTTAATAATTATGATGATTTTTATAACTTTTTTTCGAAAAATATGATAAACGAGGAAAAAAAAGTTAAGCATCAGTCAATTGAACAGTGCGATTTTGAATTTTATGTTTATAATCAAGTATGTTTTTTATTTAACATATTTTTGAATTTGAATAATTTTATCATAAAACAACTAGTAGATGATTTTGACTAATTTTCATTATATTGTTGATTGTTCGTCAATAGTCAGCGAAAAATATTTTAATTTCGTAAAATATTTAGTATAATTCTTTTTATGCATTTATAACCCTTTTCAGTTAACCTTTAATAGTATTTTTTATTTATTTTATTTTTGTTATACTGTAATATCACTATCGTTGTAATATATACTATAATATCACTTCATTGATTAGTTAATGAGATATTAAAAATTTATTTGGGCTTGTTTAGAAACATTGCGATAATATTTAAAGTTTATATTTGAAAGTTTTATATTTTTAAAATTTACATTCGAAGATTATATTTGACAAATTCTCAAGAAATACAATATCTTTTTATATTTATAATATAATATTAAGAAATAAATACATATATTGGCATCATCGCCACAATTATCAGATTAGGTATAGCCTTAATTAGGTGAATCCCCTTAAGATAAAATAACACGACATGGTGGCTGAAATCTGCGTGATCCGTTTTCAAGGGAATGCACATGCCACTGTATAGAAGTTATAATTTCAAAATAGTAAAAACTATCAGAAGCAGGGAAAAGATAGATATTTATAACGAGGATGACGTAATAAAGTAGCGGTTCTGTTATTGCATACACAAATATTAACAGCATTATGGACAGAACTCCATGTTTGGCTGAAGAGATAGGTTCAAAAACCGATTGCGTCAGATTTGTTTCCGTTCCCTTTGTAGTAGGAATGACACTGATTGTTGTAAAACAGTCGTTTAAAACAGAGGTTAGGGAAGGATGAATGGGACCGGCAGATACGTCGATATCGATAATCGATATCTAGAATCGATTTTATAGATCAAAGAGATCGAACGCATGCCCGGGAAATAAAAGGCGCTCCAGCGAACCCAAGGCACGTCCAGAATACGCAGCTTCGGCCGTTGTTGCATCAGCTTGGTTTCCAGGCCACGTGGTACACTAACCTAACGCTATATATAACACCATCAATGTCTAGTACAAAAAAGTGGGTACCGGAGGGTTCAGTTGAGGTGAACATCTTAATAAATTATTAACATGAAAAACAAAATTAATAAAAAAAAACTGGAACTTCTTTTCATTTTGGAGCACTTGAAGCACTAATTATTAAAAGAAACACTTATCAGAATAAACTTAACGGAATTCATTCAAGAAACATACCACTGAAATTTAAAGATTATTTTTAAATCATTAAATATGAAACATCAGACAGTAATAGCGGATCTAGGCAATAATTTTGACGGGGCTTGCTTATTTATATATATATATATATATATATATATATATATATATATATATATATATATAACGGTAATTACTCTGGTAAAAAAAAAGAAACTATATAAAATGATGCACAAATGCTTATATTTAGTAGCTGTTTGTTCGTTTTAAGTATTTAGCTGAGACCATTCACAGAAACAACAGTGGACCTATGAAAAAAAAAAAATATGATGTGTGCTTTAAACCACCAGATAACAGTGAAAACGTCCACAAGGAGAAATTAATAATATGAAACATAAATTATACATAATAGCTCATTATAAAGAGGATGAAATGCTGAACATTTCTCTCGCTTTCTGTATTCAGATCCGATTTTTAGTTTCTGAGATATTTTAATCCTTATGCGAAAATACTTCAATTAGTCGACTCCAGCCGACTTTACCCGAGCGTTACACATCCGAAATCTGACGGCTCAATCTAATTCACTCTCCACAAAAAAGTGCAAAACGTACCTAATAAAGTTATATTTAGGGGCTCCATCCCTAAATCTTTTTCCCCCGTGGATTCGCAAGTGATTTAAAGTACAGTATTATTTATTAAGATCTGTAATTATTCCCCCTAAAATATATAAATGCGATGATTATTTTCGTTTAATGATATATCTTTACACATACTCCGTACAACATAAAAATAATTTAAATAAATTAAATTTATAAAACAAAATATAATTCCTGAAAAACAAAAGACCAACAAAATTGCCAAGTATTGTTCCATAAACTTATTTCAGAAGAGGCTATAATATTTAAATTTATGGAATCACTGGCATGGATTCATGGGGTCTAATATAAAATTTATATTGTAGAAAATAGCCTTACATGATGGGATCTTAAACTATGAGGTCGTTTGAATTCTTAGTACATGCTCGGGTTGACCTTAATGAAACAACATTCTTTCGTTCCCAAGAATTAAACTTTTAATATTAATTTCATATAAAAATAAAATGATGATATGAAGTATATTAATTCATATCTTTGGACTAATATATATTTGATATCAATAAACTTGGATTATTTTATAATCTATGATTTTTAGGTGAAATTCCGAATCTTAACGTAAGGTTTCATTCCATAATTTTGTGCTTACGTGAAGATGACACCGGATAATATTTACTCTAATACTTAGGCTTGATACAAAGATAATATTATGGGTTTCGCCAACGTGCTCCTGATATAATTTCGAAGTCTGGAGGATTAAAGTAAAGTTAAATAACTTCATCTTAAGTTTAAGCCCTAACTAAGCAGTATAAATAAGTAATATTCATTAAAAAAACATTAGCATGACTAATCAAGCCTGATTAAGCTAGTTTTAAACAATGATTAAAAAAATAATTATAAATTAATACAACATACATATGAAAAGTTTTATCAAATTATTAACAACCGCCTGAAGCTTCGTAAATAGCTTCATCTCATCGTAATCTACAAATATTTTATTTACGAAAACTCTTAGAATTAGAGCGTTTTCAATCTGGAGGTAGGCAAACTTTGTCTATTTAATTAGATACTAAAAACTTAATTATACCTATTTGCTCTCCACTTGCACCGTAAGATCACAAAATCGAGAAAAAAGGTGGCCTACAAAAATATTGGGCCGTTTAGGCCGTCTATCATGCCAAATGGCTCCATATTTTTTAAGGCCCATTTTTCTCGAATTTGTGCCCAAATTATCTTACGATTCAAGTGGAAAGGTAATGGATGTCTACGAGTTTTTAGAACATAATTAAATGGACAAAGTTTTACGACTTCCAGATTTAAAACGCGCTAATTCATAGAATTTAAGTAAATAAAATAGTAGTTACGATGAGATGAAGCTATTTAAGAAGTTTCAGGCGGATGTTAATAATTTGATAAAAAGGGGCCTGTACCACGAACTAAATGCTTGTATTTAATTACTAATGGATTTTTCTATATAAAAATTGTTTCTTTAAAATACTTTTTTTTTTTTTAATTTGTTAAAAATAATTATATCTTAGTGTTAGTAGTAATAAAACAAATGATAAACATAAAATATAAACGATTAACTAAACGAGAAAAAAATAGAGGACATATTTTCTGAAGTGAATATGGCTAGTAAAATGGACAATATGTCGTTGGAAAGCTAAAGATTTGGCATAAAATGATATGTAATATATTAAATCTCAGAACATGAAATTAATAAGAAAGTCTAATAATAGTTAATAAATTCTATTTTTTTAATAGAAAATAAAATGTTTCTTACTAAACTGCAATGAATTTCCATAGAAACTAAACGTAAACTTTTCAAATATACTCAAAAAATAAATAGAGTCCCGGTTTATTTTATTTTGCAGTAATTTTCGTTGGTTTATATTTATTGTTAAAGCAATATTCTTTCAAATTTATTAATTGAGCTAAAATTCATTTCTACTCAAGATATGGTTGGTATAAGTTAAAGCAGTGACGCGCACCGCAAATAATTTAATTGTTCATGAAAATAATATATATATATATATATATATATATATATATATATATATATATATATATATATATATATATATATACAATATATATATATATATATATATATATATATATATATATATATATATATATATATATATAATATATATATATATATATATATATATATATATATATATAGTGTCAATTAAATGAGCTGGTATTATTAAATTAAATAATCACTTCTTTCCTAATTAGAAGAAAACGACAAACAAATTAACAAAAAAAAACTTAACTGCAATCTTTAACTCTTTAACGAAAGTTAAACTAATCAACTACCAGGTAAGAAATTAAGTAAAGTGTTAAATCAGGAATTAATTTGCCTTTGATTCGTTGACCTTCTCCAGCAAGAAGCAATTAAAAACATATCTAGGGTTTCTTACTCAGCAATCTTTAAGTCGCTTTGATTTAAGGTCTCTTGCGCCTTATTTACCAATCAAAAATACTCATCGAAGTGGGGGGAGGATAAATTTGATAAAATTCCCCAAAGATGATTGAGTTCCTAAAAATTAATATCTAAAAAAATGTAAATCGTGAGTCGTCTATTTTCAAGTGAATCGATTTTTATCGAAATCTAGTTTAGTGTCCATACCCACGTTAAATCATTCAATGAATCATACGGTGCAATTATTTATTTACAAATCGAAACTAAATATTAAAAAAAAAAAAAAGTGGGATGAAAAGTAAGTCCGCTTTCCAAATAGACTTTTTTTTAAAGGAACGAAATGAAACTTCCATTTCTTAAGTATACTTAACAAGAAAAATTCCTTCACAAATTATTTTAACCATCTAATTTAAAATAAAATTAAAAATAAATTTATTGTATTGTAAACAAGAAGTTAATTTTTTATAGTACAATTTTTATAGCGTTTTATACCCTAATCATTTTTTCTCTCCAAAACAAACACCAACCAACCCTTTTTTTTGTTCCAAAACGGGCCTTGAAGTTATTTCCAAAAGGGACCCTATTCAAGATATAATGAGTTATAATTACTACTGGAATAATTAGAGATTTTCGGAAATGTGATATATAAATAAAGAATTTTTTAATTTATTTTTTTATAAAATATTCGTTTTGATATTACAATGGAAATAGAAAATATAGTTTTTCGCGATTCTTGAAATGAAATGAGATATTTTCTAATCTTTACATATTCATTTGTAATACTTTAAAAATTACAATCTGAACAATAAATAATTAGGAAGAGAAGGGTGGTTGTGGTGATCAGTCAGAAATAAAAAGGGAAAAATAAATAATAATATTTATTTTAACATTTGCCAACGTTTCGACCAATAGTTCAGGCCTTCATCAGGGCTAAGAAAAGAACCAGATAACAAGGTATGAGAAACAGACAATGTAGGCAAAAAATTAAAGTAAAATGAAGTGGATAAAATAATGGCAATAACAACAACTAAGAAATAAATAATAATAACCGTTACAAAGTTTGGAATAATAATTGAAAGAATTGAATAATAATAATTTGTAACGGTTATTATTATTTATTTCTTAGTTGTTGTTGTTGTCATTATTCTACCCGCTTCATTTTACTTTAATTGTTTTACCTATATTGCTTCATATATCTTATATAACTTCATATTTTTCTGTTTTTACATTTTATTCTAAGATTCCCATTTTAATACTTATTTCACTTTTTTTTTTTTTTTCGTTATGTTTACTTCATCATTCCACACTTTGTACCGCTTATTATCATTTATCTCTTTGTTCTTACTATTGTCATTATTCTAACAACCGAATTTTACTTTAATTTTTTTACCTACACTACTTATGTTTCTCATACCTTGTTATCTGATTCTTTTCTTAGCCCTGATGAAGGCCTGAACTTCAGGTCGAAACGTCGGCATATGTGAAAATAAATAATATTATTTATTTTTGCCTTTTTATTTCTGACTGATCACCCCAACCATCCTTCTCTTCATTATTCACGACAGTCAACCATCAATCCACAATTAATAATAAATAATTAGAGTTTTCAATAAAATAAGTTTATAAATAAATAAATAATAACTGGCTATCTAGAAACAAAGGTAAATTCTTTGAAAATGATTTCATTATTAATTATAAGTATCGTGAAAGCCGTTAAGTTTTCCATTAAATTGTAAAGTGGAGTAAAGCCAATAATGAAATTAAGCGGCACTTAATTTTCTTCAACACCATTATTTTTTT